GCGAAACCCCCTGAAAAACGCTCCCTGCTTTGCAGGAGCAGGAAAGACCACCCCTCTCCTGCTGAAAACACAGTCTGGGTGGTGGTTGGTTTTTTTTTCTATTGTTTTTATCTGAGCTGTGCGTCTCCCCAGGAGCACGGCAAAAGCAAACGCCCGTCCCTGCTCCACGCGAGGGGCCGCGAGTGTGGCCGAGCTGCGCCTGCACCGCGGGGCAGGTGGGGCTGTAGGGACCCAGGGAAGGGCCTTGGGAAGGTCATTTTTAGGGAGTGAAATAAGTTTGGGGTCCATCAGGCCTGGAAGCAACCGTGGGAGCAGCCGACAGCTCCTGTTGGAAGGCAGAGGGGGCTGAAATCCTCCTGCCACGTGTGCGGGGCGAAATGATTTGATCTGATGGGTTTTTAAAAGCGTTTTACAAGAGAGCAGCGAAAGCTCAGCCTGTGCTGGGTGTGAAGGAAATAAGTTGGCTCAGAGAGGGGAAACTGAGGCACGGGGAGTGCTGGGTAATGAAGACGGCGCCGAGCTGCCAAGTTGGGCAACTGACTGGGCAATCTGCACGTTGCCGGCCTTTTTATTTTGGTGATTTCCAGCCTCTTGCCAAAGCCACGGCAGAAAATCAGGGGAGTGGCAGCGGCACGTCTCCATTTGGGGATCTTCAGGCAGATGCCACTCCCTTCCACCCACAGCCCAGCACTCTCAAGACCCAAAAAAGGAAGAATTTGCCCCTTTCCTCGCTTGCTTGGAAGGGGATGTGATGTCGGAGGCGAAGGTGGCAGCGCTGGGGCGGTAAACAGGAAACGTCTCCTCGGTGCAGGGGGATGAACCTGCATTTCAGGGCTCCCCTTCCATCCCAAAATGAGTCTTTTTCCAGCTGGAGTTCACCCCAATATCCCCTTGGAGGGAAGCGGGGCTTTGGCTTCGCCCCTTCGGATCGCCACGATGCCACGGAGTGAAACTCCTGCAGTGCTAACGGCTCCACCTCGAGCTGCGCTGCTGGAGGGGTTTGGGTTTTTTTTTTTTCTCAGCTACTTTGGTATTTTTGGCAACGTTTTTGCATGGGCCGAGCAGCTGTGTCATTTCATCCTCCCTCTGCAACTTCCCCAGAGCTTTTTCATCCGCTTTCAGGGGACACCCACAAGTGAGACGCTTATTTCTACCATTCCTGTGTCTCACAGCTGGTAAACCCCAAATCGGGGTCCCCGCCACAGCAGGTGCCATGCAGCCACCACATCGACATCTCTCCCAAAGCCACGAAGCTGCCTGCAAAATCCCCTCCCGATACCATTTCTGAGGCGTAAATAGGATTATTATTGGGTGCATTCCCTGTGGGAGGATGGAGGGATGGATGGATGGATGGATGCAGGAGAGGTGGCCGCCGGCTGGGCAGGACGGTTGATGCCGGGCTTTGCCGGGATGCTCGTGCAGCTCCTCGCCTTGTCAGGAAACCCGAAGCTTTGTCAGCTTTTCCGCTGCAACGTGCGATTTTTCAGTGGTGGGTTTCTCTTCTGCTTTCTCCAGGCAGAGCAGGTTCCCCCCCCGCGAGGGCCGGGCCAGCTTCCTGCCCTTCCCCTGCCTGCTCCAACACCAGCTTTGCTTTTGCAACCTCTTCTGTGGTTTCAAGCGTGACACAGAATATTTTTGCTGCTGCTTGTAACTTATTTGCTAGAATATATCCCGATGTGTGGGGTAAGAAGCGGAGATTGCCGCTGTGCTGAGTTTAAGGGGAGGTCTGTCCTCTGACACAGGTTTTACACAGGTTTTACTGCCTTGGTTGAGTCATCTATCCGCCCAGATGTAGTTGTCAGAGGTTTGGGGTTTTTTTTGGCAGGAAAATGGGTTTGTTTCCTAGGGGATCGGGAGGAAGCACGTGGCAATGCGGGAGTTGGAAGAAAACAGCAGTTTGTGGATCAAATGCTCTTTTCTTGCCTCAATTTCTCTTTCTGGACAAGGGAAGGGAGAGGAGAGACCCTGGAAGAACGAAAGCCCATTTGTACCAGGATTTGCACAAACACCCGGGGAAAAGCACCAACCGAGGAACCTTTTTTTGTCACTCAAACCCCCCCAGTGTTGCACTTGAGGCCTGATTTCCAAAGTGCTTCAGGCCCACGAGCAGCCCTGAGGGCCTTCTCATTTTAATTCCCCTTGGTAGCATCCAAAACTCCCATTTGAGCTCGAAGCTGTTCCAAAGGTGGGATTTTTGGGGGGAGTTTCTGAGTGCTTGCATGGGAGCAATGGAGATATTCGGGCACGCACAAAAATTCAACTGTTTTTGTAAAAAAAAAAAAAAAAAGATAAAGGAACCAGCCCCGTGTCTCTGCTGCTTGCGGAAGTCAGCCCTCATGCATGAGGAAGCATCAGGCCAGATCTAGACTGGCAGTCTGAAGCTTTGTAGCAAAACCCTAATAAAATAAATGGAGAAAAGGAACAAATCCTGCTTACAACCCTTCCACCTCCAGGTCTGGCACCACCGGGGCGGTCCGTGGATGCTTGAAATGCAAATGTTAGCGTAAGCGTATCTCTGCCGGTATTAAATTTTCAGTGAGTTTACAACGCTTCTGCCCTTATCTGATTTCCCCTCCCTTCCCATCAGTCTTCCCGGAGGAGCCACATCAAACTTCACCCGTGGCTGCATCCGCTGGAGCCTTGTCCCAAGAGCTCTCCCGAAGCCAAGCAAGTTCATCTTTCCCCCGTTGCCCACGGGCGGGGGTCAGGGATGCCGTAACGGGGCGCTTCACGCCGATGCTTTTCTCTCCTCCCTCTTTGCTATTCAGCTCCCATGAAAGAAGAGCGGGAGGATGGATTACGGCGGCTGCGAGTACCTGGTCCCATGCGGAAAAGACAAATACATCTCCAAGTAAGGTGCTCGGCAGGGCTGTGATGCAGAAGTACAGGCGGTGCGGGGAGCTGGGTGGAGGGGAGTGACCCTGAGTTTTAACGTGGTTTGGCTGGATTTCAAAAAAAAAAAAGCCATTCTGGGGCAAGAAATGGGAATTTCCTCTTAAGGGAAAAAAAAAAAAAAAAAGCTTGATGGAATTTTGACATTTTTTCTTAGGAGCGTGGCCAAATGCTCTATAAAATTCCATGAAATACAAGTTTTGCTGTAAAGGGTCGCAATTAGTAAATGGTCTTTTATGTTTTGGTAAAGAAGTAAAGTCATTCTTAAGTTTCGAGGAAGATTTTGGAGGAGATAAAGTGTACGCACAATATTTCCCCCCCCCCCTTTTTTCTTTCTCATGACCCCAAATCCCCGTGATCTGTGCGTCTCTTGATGGTGCCGAGCATCTTTAAACTCCACCAGCCAGCCCAGCTGAATTAACGACAGCTTTATGAATTAATGCCAGAGGCATCGCGTCCCCGTGATTCCTAGCTGTGCTTCGACAGCCTGGCTTGGTTTTCCGCTTCTTTTTTTTTTTTTTTTCCTTTAAATTTATTTTTTTATTTTTGTTATTCATCTGCAACTGGAGCGGGGTTCAGACTTTTAAACTGATTTTGAGGTCAGGGTCCAGAGCAACGAGCTGACGTGATAAACTCGCCTGTGATAACTTGTGACTCCAGCACGACCCAAGGGCTTGGGCGCTCTGAAAATTTCCACGTTTTTCAGCCTTGTCACCAGCTCCACCAAGGTCTAACGGGTTCTCTTATGTCTTCTTGCAAGGTTTATGGAGAGCAAGGTTGCAGGGGAGCTTGTCCCCACAGTTGTGGTTGTGAAGGGCAACCCCTGGTTGACCCTGCAGCCCGTCTCCTCGACAAGGGAGGTCCAGAGGCAGCAGAAGTCCCACATTTGCCCCAAGTGACGCTGGTTGATGTCCCCCAGCAGTGTAGCAGGTTCACTGCCCAGCCTGACCCCGGGAAGCGTTCCTGCTTTCTCCCAGACCCCCCCAATTTCCCCCCAGCTGGCTCAGAGGGTACCAAGTGGTGCCTGCGATGTTTCCCCTTGCCCTTCCACACCTCTTCTCAGCACCTTTCCCATTATCTTTTTTTAATCCAGAAATGAACTGCTCTTACACTTGAAGACATACAACATCTATTACGAAGGGCAGAATTTGCAGCTGCGACACCGGGAGGTAAGAAATCCCCAGGGCAGGCCCCCAGCTTATCTCTGGCAGGAGAAAAAAAAAAAATAAAACAACAAAACACAAAACCAAAACAAACCAAAACAACCCAACGTGGAAATGCGGTTTGATTCAGATTTGTGAGGTCCAAAAAAATGCCTCTTAGTCACCTTCATGCTGTTTGTATTTCGGCTACCGGTGCAGGAGGAAGGGGAGCTCATCGTGGAGGGGCTGCTGAACATCTCCTGGGGCTTGCGGAGACCCATCCGCCTGCAGATGCAGGACGACAACCAGCGCATCCGCCCGCCGCCCTCCTCCTCCTCCTGGCACTCGGGCTGCAACCTGGGAGCCCACGGGTGAGTGGAGGGGAAAGAAGGGCC